CTTTCTCTCATTATTTCTAGAATGAATTCCCAGTTGGTATTATCAAATGCCTTCTCGGCATCGAGAAATAACAGTCCAAGTTCTTTCTGTGGGTTACTATGATAGTACTCTATTATATCAAGAATTGTTCTTATATTGTCCCGCATCTTTCTGTTGGGCAAAAAGCCTGTTTGGTCAATTTTTATTTGATCCTCTAAAAGGTTTTTAAGTCTGTTGGCCAAAATACCTGTAAAGATTTTATAGTCATTATTTAATAACGAAAGTGGTCTGTAATTTCTAATATTTGAGGGGTCAGAGTCACCTTTTTGTATTAGAGTTATGTTGGCGTTCTGCCAAGATTCTGGAATTTTTGCGGTAGTCAAACTGTTATTCATTATTTCTTTTAGCGTCGGGATTAGATCATCTTGGAAAATTTTATAATATATGGAGGTCAGTCCATCGGGGCCAGGAGCTTTGTTGTTTGGAAGATTTTTAATTGCTGATCTTATCTCATCCTCTGTCATTCACTTATTAAGAGCTTCCCTTTGCCTTTCTGTAATTTTATCCAGCTTCTGCTTCGAAATATAGGTTATAATATCCTCTATATTAGATGAATCTTCTTGGTATAGATTAGTATAGAATGTTTTGAATTTTTCTACAATATCCTCGTCTAAAGTAGAAGTTATACCATCTTCTATTATCTGAGTTATATATTGTTGTTGTTGTTTTTTCTTTCAATTTCTTAGCAAGCCATTTGCCCAGTTTATTAGCATTTGTGAAATGGTTTACTTTCAAGAATTTCAACTTTCTCACCATTTTTTCTAATGGTGATGTGTTTATTTGTTTCTTGATTAATTCTATCTCTAGCTTTCTTTTCTTGTCTCCTGGATTGCTCTTAAGCAGGTTCTCTTTGATTTTTAGATCTTCCTGTAGTTTTATGTGTTCTTCTTTTCTTAATCTATTCTTTTTACCACCCTGTTGAATAAAATACCACCTTACTGGCATCCCAGATTGTTTCTATTTTTGTTTCTTTATTATTATTAATCTTGAAATATTCTTTAAGTAGATTCCTATTTTTTTTCTATCTCATTCTCTGTTTTAAGTAAGTTCTCATTTAATTTCCATCTCCTTAGTTTTGGTCTTTCCCTTATGTCCATCTCTAATGCACAATGATCGGAATTTAATCTTGGCTTGATTCGGATTTTGTTCACTTTTATGGCAATGGAATTCGAGGCCCAGATCATATTGATCTGGGACCACAATTGGTGACTATAGGAGTAATAGGTATAATCTTTTGCTGTGATGTTTTTCAATCTCCAGACATCTTGTAAACAAAAGTCTTTTTTCATCTGTAAGAAATTTAATGGTAATTGTCCAGCTTTCGGTTCCCCTCCTCTTGTTTTATTTTTTTTTTTTTGGACCTGTCAATCTGATTATCTATAACCCCATTGAAGTCGCCTAGAATTATCAGATTTTCATATTCCTGATCCAGAATAGTTGTTTTTAGGTATTTTACAAGTTTGGATTTGAGCCCAACTGGGGCATAGATGTTGCATATTAGTGTGATTTGATTGTTAAACCTTATTTTGACACCTATAGCACGTCCCTCTGATCCCTAAAGGCCAGTTATGGATTGAGTTTCTCCTTTATATACAGCACAACTCCTCTTTTCTTTTCTTGGGCTAACACATAGTATTCCTTTCCTAGTTGTTTCTTAATAAGGTAAGATGCATGTTTTTGTTTGATGTGTATTTCCTGTAGGGCAATAATATCAAAATTACCATTTTTTATTTGATTGAATACTAGTTTCCTTTTATTTGGGCTATTCAGACCATTTACATTATTCGAGAGGACTTTCTCCATCATTACGCATTTCTTCTTCTGGACAGTCCTGGTTCACCAACTCCAATTCCGGTGTCAAGTCGTATTCCTCTGGTGAGTTTTCTCTTAGTCTTTTCTCAGGTTTTTCCCCAAACTGTTTACTTCCTTTTTTCCTACCTCCTGGGTCAGATCTGCTAGGCGATTCTCTATCTCTTGGTTCTTGTTGTTTTCCTTTTTCGATCTCTTTTTTTATAGTCTCTATAGAAGTCCTTTGCCTTCTGTTCCGATGTTATCTAATGTTTCTTATCGTTGAGAGAAACCATCAGACCTTCATTTCTTTCCCATCTGAATTGGACCTGGTGTTTTTTCAGTTCATTTATTAGGAAATAATACTTTCTTCTTTTATTCATTGTCGATGGGGGTACTTCTTTTAGGACAATTACTTTTTCTCTTTATAATATATAGGTTTTTTGGAGTTGTGTTTGAGGATTTCATCACGAATCCTTTTTCTTCCGAAGTTGACGACAATGTCCCTGGCCTCTTTGTGTTTCCTCGCATAATTGGTATTAATTCTATACAGTCTGTCCATATGTTGGTCGGCTTCCGTTTTGGAGATGTCTAAAATTTTCGCCGTTATATCTGCGATTATGCCTCTCAAGTCTTCTCCCTCGCATTCCTCCACATTTATGAATCTAAGTTGGAATTCTGCTTCTATTATTGCCATTTGTTCTTGTTGATTTTCTAATCTTTCGCTTAATTCTTCTAATTTTGTAACTTTCTGGTTGGTCTTTTCCACTGAATTGATTAGTTTGTTTGTTATTTTGAATCTCTTTCATTTCTTGTTGAATTTCTTTAAATTCTTTTTTTACCATATAGATCTCCTCTTTGACTTCTCTTCTTAATTTTCCTGTTTCATCTTGGAAGATCTTTCCAATCTTTCTTGCATTTTGTCTTGGTTCTCCTGTATTTTGTCTTGTTTTTCCTGCATTTTTTCTTGATTTTCTTGTATTTTTTGTAGTTGAGCCATAAGTTCTTTTGAAGAGGGGTCACCTTGTATAGAGGGTCTTCTCGCTGTAAATGAGGTTGTTGTTGTTGTTGTTTTACTTGTATATTTGTCCATGGGATATCTGGTAAATGTTTTTGTTGATTCCTTGTTTGTACTCTATCTCTCTTCTTTTCTTGTCCTTTTTCTTTCCCTATTTTTTCTCTCTCTTTTTATTTGTTTATTTATTTATTTATCTTTACTTATACTTATTATTATTGTTATTATATATTTTGTTGTTGTTATTATAGTCCTATGTGAGTAGCTGCAATGTTGATTACTCATGGTACTACAATGTTGCTTGAGCATAATGTGCATGATTCAAAATTAAAAGTTCTTTCTGAAACTAACTACTGCTGCCTGGAGATCCTATAGCTGACTAAATGGGTAGCGCATACTGGTGCATGGTTCTAATAGTCCATTTCTTAGGCCTCATATTTTTATCCTCATACTGCAGCTACACTGTTAAATTAATGCAGTTTGGCACTACTTTAACTGCCTTGGCTTAGTGCTGTTGGATCCTGAGAGTTGTAAGTTGGCGAGGCACCAGCATTCTTTGGCAGGAATCATGAAAGATGCTGTAAAACTACAAAACCTAGGAATCCATAGCCTTGAGCCATGTCAGTTAAAACAGTGTTAAATTGTATTGATTCTACAGTGAAGACTAGTGGTTCCTAACCTGTGGTCCATAGACCACCAGTGGTCTGCAAGAACTAAAATATGGTTCACAGCCTTACTGTTGCTACATCATTGCAACGAGAACAATTGGTCTCACAAAACCCTCTTATAGTGCCGGAGTTTATTAAATATGATTTTCTGTGGGGTAGCAGATAGCAACTACTCGATGGCATATGTTCTGTATCTAGAGCTGATGTGGTCTAGTCAATGCAATTTTCTGAATCAGCAAACCAAATAACCAAACCGAATCTTAAGTTGACCAAAAACTGATTCGTAACCCTTTGGGTACTAATGTTGGAGAGTGGTCCCTGGTCAAATTGTCCCTGGCCAAAGTGGTCCCTGGTCAAAAAAAGGTTGGGAACTACTGGTGTAGATGCACCCTCAGAAGAGCAAGATGTAAAGTCATGTCCCTATAATGAGAGATTCTGCTCTGAGCTTTTCTTTCTCAACTTCAGTCTTTAAAGCAGCCGTCTTGATCCAAAGGTGGTATCGACGCTATATGGCCCGGCTTGAAATGCGGCGGCGATGTACATGGCGCATCTTTCAATCTATCGAGTATTCGGGAGAACAGGATCACCTCAAGGTATGGTTTTCAAAAGAGGAAGGGGGAGTTATGAGCAGCTGTATTGCTATTTTTTTTTGTTGATCGTGGTCCCAGCAAACTTACTTTGCCTACACACAATGCACTGTCCAGTAGCTTTTGTGGAACCACCAATTAAGCCCAACAGTGCCACAATCTAGTCAGTATTGTATTTCTGATACACAGGCTATGAATGCTGTTAGATCTCACTTTGATTGATAGGCTGGTTATATATTCAATAATTGTATTAAAAAGTGTATGTAATCAGTATAGGAATGCCCATGCAAGAGATGGAGGGATTTGGGGGAAATACCAAAAAAATGTTTTTAATAACTCCTCCTATCACTCACCTGCAAAACATTAAACTCCATGAGGAATGAAATACAATCCAAAACCAACAGTTGGGCAAGAAAATGAACAAAATCTGGCTACCAGTATTAAAAAACTTTAAAATTAAAACAGCAAAACAGCAGAGGGAAAACAATCAGGGACATCTAATCACCTCTCAACAAAAGATTGCTCCAGGCACTTCCAGGCTATCAAATGCTAATCAAGGTGGTCAGTTGAAACATTCACACCTAGCTCCAGCAGACAAGAGTCCTTTGTCCCACCCTGGTCTTTCCACAGATATATAAACCCATTTTCCTAGTTCCAACAGACCTCACTACCTCTGAGGATGCTTGCCAAAGATGCAGGCGAAACATCAGGCAGGTGTTTGTTTGTTTTTTGTCGTGTCAGGAGCGACTTGAGAAACTGCAAGTCGCTTCTGGTGTGAGAGAATTGGCTGTCTGCAAGGACGTTGCCCAGGGGACGCCTGGATGATTTGATGTTTTATCATCCTTGTGGGAGGCTTCTCTCATGTCCCCGCATGAGGAGCTGGAGCTGATAGAGGGAGCTCATCCACCTCTCCCCGGATTCGAACCTGTGACCTGTCGGTCTTCAGCCTTGCCGGCACAGGGATTTAACCCACTGCGCATCCTGCAGCACATTTTGCTTTAGTTCAGTGGTTCTCAACCTGGGGTCCGCAGATGTTTTTGGCCTTCAACTCCCAGAAATCCTAACAGCTGGTAAACTGGCTGGGATTTCTGGGAGTTGTAGGCCAAAAACATTTGGGGACCCCAGGTTGAGAACCACTGCTCTAGAACATGGCCATATAGCCCGAAAAAACCCACAACAACCCAGTTGGGCAAGATATTCATTGAGGCCAAGTACAATTCTACATTTCTGCACAGCTGTTCAGGTTGTTAGAACTCTTCATCAGTAATTCCCATCAGTGATTGGACTTCAACTCTCAGAAGTTTCTGCTGCCTTGGCCAATGATCAGGGATCCTGGAGTCCAAAACTGCTGGGGTGTATCCACGCCAGGCATGGACAAACTTCAGCCCTCCAACCATTCAATTGTTGGAGTTGAAATCAACTTAGAGGGCCTAAGTTTGCTCATGCCTGATCTACACTGTAGAATGAATGTAGCTCGACAGCACTTGAACTGCCGTGGTTCAGCGCTATGGATTCTGCAGTATGGATGACCTGGAAAGTGGACATGGTTCATTGGCTGAAATATTGAAACATGATATTGAAATTCTCACTTGGATACCTGCTATGAGGGTTATCTGGAAAGTAAGGCTACAAAGCACATAGCTCTCATGGGGAATTTTTGTGCGCGAAATTGGTATATTTGCTGTGTAGCGGGAAGCCAGGAGAAGTGAAGGAGCAGTGCCAGTCGTCAGCAGCTCATCAACTGGCGTTGTGGTGAAGTTTAGAGATGAGCGTCCTCATTCTGTTTCCCTCTAAGTGCGAAGTTCACACTGTAATATGCTACCTAAATGCTAAGAGCATAAATGCTGCTTCGATTCATTGTGAAATTATTCCAGTTTATGGAGGGGACGTAATGTTAAGACAGCATGTGACAGAATAGTTACGGAATATATTGTGAGACCATGAAGACACTTGGCAGAGCCGTCCAAAACAAACATCGTGGGATGCTGACGGTGGGAGTATTTCTCCTTCATGACAATGTGTATCAGCACAATGCTCATGTAACACAAGAGCTGTTGACTTTATTAGGTTGGGATGTTTTAAGCCACCCCTCTCACAGCCCCGATCTTGCACCCGATGATGATGATGATGATGATGATGATGATAAAGCTTTATTTGTACCCCGCTACCATTTCCCCAAGGGACTCGGTGCGGCTTACATGAGGCCGAGCCCACAATACATCAGCAAAAACAACAACAGCAGCAATACAAAACAATAAAATGAAACTCATAAACAAAAAACAAGCAGTAAACATTAACAATAGCACAACAACGCTTAAAAACCTATGGCTGGGCCAAATGTAATAATTAAAATAAAAAAAAATGCTGAGCATGACCAGGTGAAATATATAACTAGGATAGAATTTCGGAGAGGAAAGGGCATGCAGACAATCCTAGATCATTGATAAAGTGCATTTAGGGACATATTGCTGGGAGTTTCCTTATTCTGGGAAGGCACACTGGAACAACCATGTTTTCAAGCTCCTCCTAAAGACTGCCAGAGTTGGGGCATGCCTGATGTCCTTGGGGAGTGAGTTCCAGAGTCGAGGGGCCACCACTGAAAAAGCCCTCGCCCTTGTTCCCACCAATCGCTCTTGCGATGGAGGTGGGAGCGCGAGCAGGGCCTCTCCAGATGATCAAAGAGATCGTGTGGGTTCGTATTATCATCTGTTCACTAAATTGAAAGCACACCTGAGTGGAAAACACTTTTCCAATGACAATGAGGTGAAAATTGAAGTGATGAACTGGCTGAAAAAGGCGGAGGGAAACTTCTATGACACAGGTATCAAAAAGTCATTGCACGGATGACAAAATGTATTGAACTGAATGTTGACTATGTGGAAAAATAATGTAATACCTTTGCCACAATCTGTGTAAGTTTTATTAAAATATATACATTCTTTGTATATATTTTTAAACTTGTAACCTTACTTTTTTGGTAACCCACTTATTTACACACGGTACCCTATCTTCAAAATAAGTTGAAGCAAAGAACCAGGGGATGAGAGAAAGGCTATGGCAGTGGAAACAGGTGCAGATGTTCCCTTTGTGTGAATGATCACATCCTTCTTGTTTTCTGCAGCTCAACAGCTTCTTTGACTACCTCATGAAAAACTTCACACCAAGAAGCAACAGAGACAGTAAGCTTATGGAAAGGGGCCACATCCTTTATCTCCTAAATCTCCTATGTAAATTCGTTCTGTGTGCTTTCTGCATACAGCTATCTTACAGTATATCTATCTATATATGTTTGCCTATGTCTATCTATATCACGCATAGGCCAAATTCGGCCCTCTGGGTGTTTTGGACTTCTACTCCCACAATTCCTAACAGCGGGTTAGGAATTGTGGGAGTTGAAGTCCATAACACCTGGAGAGAAGGCCCAAGTTTTCCCATGCCTGGCCTAGATGGACCCAATTTTTTTCACTTTTGTTCCTAATTTCTTTCTCTCTTTTTCTAGAGGAATTCCTGCATCGAATATTATCAGAACCGGAAAACCTGAATGAGAGCAGGATAGATAGAGCGTTCGCCTACCAATCCGTCGTCGTACCGGATAGCTATATGGGGCCCCGTCTTTCCTTCCCACTCTTCCCTGATGATGCCGCTGCCTTACTGGAAGCGTTCAAACAGAAACAAGTAGGTATTTGCCTAGCAATCTTGGTCTTTCCTCTCTTTCTTGGGAAATACACTGGGCCTAAATGGGATTTCCTTCTCAAGATACCAATATTCTGCAAGAAAGACGCCCTCGTTACACCATTTGCTCAACAGATGAGATAATTTGTGAGTCATCATTTCAAGATCATCAGTCAGAATGGAGAACCATTTCATTTCATACATATAACATGTATCTATACACACAATAAAAGTGAAAATGTGTGTGTGGCTGAGATGTCCACTTACACAGACAAGCCCCTGACTCCACAAGAGACACCAAAGGTCCTCCCTCCAATGGCATTGCAGGTTATTGTGAGCACCATGAACGTGTCCAAAAGTCCTGCCAATGTCCTCCACAAACAACATACTGCCCCCCACCCAAGTGGAGGCTTTCATACAAAGACAATTTCATCCTAGATTTTATGTGTTTCCTCCACCACAGAAATCCAAGTGTTTCTTACTCTCTCAATTGGTGTGGAATTTGCATGACCTCCACCAATGATGGACCTGAACCAAGCTTGGCACACAGAATCCCAATGGCTAACTCAACCTACTGGAGGGGTTTGAGAGGACTGACTCACCATAGTGGGAGTTTTAGTTTACCTTACAGCCAGAGAGCACACTGTACCCCACTAATGATATATCTAGAGCAAACTTGCCCAACATAACAGACTTTGAATACTGATGAAGTCTTTTGGGGTTTACCTGGCATGATGTGAGTTGTAGTTTACCCACAACCTTCTGCATTTGTACAACTAAGAAAACTGACTCTTTCAAATACCACAGGCAACGCCAGGTACCCAAGCTACTAAATAATAAAATCCAATTTTAAAATAGAGTTACGATTTCCTTGAAAGAGCCTTGGAATTAGAATTTAATTTAATGCAAGGAAAAACATCTTGTCCCTGATGCCCTTTGGTAACTTCTTCTCTTTTTTCCCAGTAGCAGCTTCACGCTCACTATGTCCTAAGACTCTTCCATGAAGCCCGGAAGCATCTCTCCCAGCTGCCAAACATCAACAACGTCTCTACCTGTTACAGTGAGGAGATCACTGTCTGTGGTAAGGCCTCTTCATTTACATCTTGAATTTATTTATTTATTTGTTTACTTTACTTGTATACCGCCGTTTCTCAGCCTAACTGGCGACTCAACGCAGTTTACAACAAGATAATCAACAACAATATACAATTTAAAACCATAAAAGCACAATATACAATATCAACACAACAATAACAACACAGTGCATCTCATAACTAGAGTCGTGATCCAGATTCGTCGTCCATATTTCCATTCCTGTAATCGTCACATTCATTGCACTGATTAACCAAATGCTTGTTCAAACATCCAGGTTTTTAATCTTTTCYGGAACACCATTAGCGAGGGGGCTGATCTTACCTCCATGGGAAGRGYGTTCCAYAGCCGAGGGGCCAYCACAGAAAAGGCCCTGTCTCTCGTCCCCGCCAGCCGCACCTGTGAAGCAGGCGGGATAGAGAGCAGGGCCTCCCCAGAAGATCTAAGGGTCCTGGTGGGCTGATAGGCCGAGATACGTTGGATAGGTAGGTTGGGCCAGAACCGTTTAGGGCTTTAAAGGCCAACGCCAGCACTTTGAATTGGGCTCGGTAGCAAATCGGCAGCCAGTGGAGCTGGTGCAGCAGAGGAGTAGTACGCTCCCTGCGCTCCGCTCCTGTTAGTATCATGGCTGCCGAGCGTTGGACTAGTTGAAGCTCTCCTGATGTTGTTAGACATCAACAACCATCAAAACGGGCCAATGTAGATGWTCCCTCACCCTAATCYCAGGACAACCATGACTTATATTTAGACTTTGAGATAAGGAGACCTTGGTACCTTCAGGATCCATCATGTGCTTTTGATAAAACCTAGAGATTTACAAGGAGCCCCCAGTGGCACAGTGGGTTAAACTGTTGAGCTGCTGAATTGCTTACCGAAAGGTCACAGGTTCGAATCCAGGGGGCGGCATGAGCTCCCACTGTTAGCCCCAGCTTCTGACAATCTAGCAGTTCGAAAACATGCAAATGATCAATAGGTACAGCTCCGGTAGGAAGGTAATGCCTTGCATGCTCTCCCTCGCCCACACATGTACACCACATTTGGAGGGGAGAGCAGGCGTTTCCTTTGTCTGTCAGCAGAAGGAGGGCTTTTTGTGGGAGGAGACACTGTCTGTTTCCAAAAAAATGAAGAGAATGACAGGTGAAGAGATCTTCAGTCTTCTCTGACAAAGGGCTTCCTAAGTCCATCAGAAACACATGTTTTTTGATGGTCTTTGACAACCCCTCTGAAACCTCCTTGTGACCCCTCCAGGTTGAGAAACACTGCTCTAAGGGAACCCCTAAGGGAAGTTGTTCAAGCACTTGTAAATTAATAGAGAATAAACATGCATTTTGAGAGTAGGAGGAGGCAATAAAATTATTAAGAGTAGGGCTACTTCTGTCCTACACCCACTTGTTGTTCTGGTGGAGTTTTTTTTTGCCAAGGAGAAAAAGATCTCACCCAGCTAATTCTTTCTTTCCTCTTTGGTTAGGAGACTTACATGGCCAGTTGGCGGATTTGTTTCTGATATTTTACAAGGTATGTGTTAGGTAAATAAATCCAATTCTACACCTTTAATTCTGAGACCAGGACAAATGATAACCACCAAGCCCAATGCCATTCTGCCTTGCAGCAATACAAAGTTGAAGCACTTCTGACCGATAGCTACCCAACATCTATCTGTCTGTCTGTCTGTCTATCATCTCACCTATTTATGGGAGTGTTTTTGCATGTTTGCATGTTTTCAATCTGCACTTGCTTTAATAATTTGTAAGACACTTTAAACCTTGGCTGAGTCCTGTTATGGAGGGCTATAAAATGGAATATACATTAATAAAACAAGAATGAAAAAATAACAGGCAACTGCTTGATGTTGATTTAGACCATTGATCCATCGGCTTCAGTGGTTCCCCAACCTTTGGTCCTCCAGGTGTTTTGGACTTCAGCTCCCTCAATTCCTAACAGCTGGTAAGAGGGCTGAGATTTGTAGGAATTGAAATTCAAAACAATTGGAGGACTACTGAAACTGATAAGGTGAATTCTAGATTTTAGGTAGGATCCTTTCTTGGCCCTATCTGGAGATATTTCCTGATTGTTCTTCATCCAACCAGGTCGGAACTTGCTTAGATTTTGAAATCATGCAAGAGCTGGTTTCAGCATTCAACTGACTGCAGAATCAGTATCATTGCCTTGAATCTTCAAATCAGTTTAATCAGTTATAAACTGATGGTTCCAGCTCTTCTTTGTCCCAAGATTCATTATTATTATTGTGCTATCATATTGAATCAGGCTACATTGTAAAGAGACTGTGTACAATAAGTAGCATTAGGCAACTTTGTAGAATAAACATCCATGATGCACTAATCACTGTTAGTCTTATCGGTCTTCAAGTCAACTCCAACTTATGGTGACCCTGTGATAGATTTTTTTTCTTGGCATGATTTATTCCACAGAGACTTGACATTCTCTGCGACTATTGTGCGAGGAACACAAAAATACTGATTTTGTCACCCCCACAAAGGTCACCTTGTTGCTTTTAATGGCTAAATGAGGATTTGAACCCTAGTCTCCCAAAGCTCTAATCCAGCATTCAAACCATTGCATCACACTGGCTTCTGATCTCATCATTACTCTTTGTGATTTCTTACAGAACGGCCTTCCCTCTCCGCAGAAGGCATATGTCTTCAACGGCGACTTTGTGGACAGAGGCAAATATTCCATGGAGATTCTGATCATACTCTTTGTCTTCCTCTTGATTTATCCCAAGGAGGTCCATCTAAATCGAGGAAACCACGAGGACTATATCGTCAACTTACGGTATAAGAGCAAAAACACCTTTCAGGAGATCAGACTTGTGTACTTGGGTTCTTTCTGTCTTAATGCATTTATGAGAGGTCTTATTGACCCAGTTCTTCAAAAAATGCTTAGTTAGTTAAAAAACAAAACAGTGATGCCATACATCTAACAACATTTTAAAAGATATGGTCAGATATTGGTACAAAATCGGTAGAAACATAAAGCAAAATTGGTTCTTTCAAAGGTGATGCAACATGATCAGGAAGGAAGTCAGGCTAGAATTCACTGCATAGCAGTGCTTATGAGTATGTATGGTAACTTTGCGAAATATATGGGGTTGTCATAAGTCATCAGACAATTTGGAGGCATATACACACGCACACAATAAGCGTAGACATACATAAATCCCATACAGGATTTCAGCCAAGGTTTAAAGGGTCTAGGACAGAGGAATGTTCATTGCACCTACCATTTTGATGGTGTATCCCTTGGGGTCACTTTCCAGGCTGTTTGGGTTATAGTGGATTGTTTTGGGTTGAGGAGTCACATTCCTCTTGAAGGAACATTGTACAGCCTTGGAAAAGTTTTATTCTTGTTTTTTTCCCCCAGCCAAAAATGGAGCATGGGGACATGACCACATGATACTCACCCTTGATCTGGGAAAATCAATAACAAATATCTTGATCTAGCACTGAAGGGTCTATAATGATGGCACCATGTGAACTCCCTGTGGAGAACATGATGGTTTCGGGTGGGAGAAACAATTAGAAAGTTCTTTATTTACCTATAAGCACCATAGAATAATAGAAACACAAAGTTGGAAGAGACCTCATGGGCCATCCAATCCAACCCTCTGCCAAGAAGCAGGAAAATCACATTCAAAGCACCTTCTTAAAGCCGTTTACTCGAAGCAACCATTTAATGCTATCTTATGTTTCCCTTCTAGCTATGGGCTCAACAAGGAGATTGCACGCAAATATAAGGTAATTTGGTTTGCGAACCTGATGCATCTTGTACATTGCTGTGTGACCCTGATCCTTTGCTTATTTTTCATTACAATTCCTCTCCTCATCCACCTAGGAGCACAGTGGTAAAATTCTGAAAGTTCTTCAGAATGTCTTCAGCTGCCTGCCGCTGGCGACCTTGGTTGACCAGAAGGTCTTGATTGTACATGGAGGAATTTCGGACACAACTGATCTGGATCGACTGGCCAAGATTGACAGGCGTCAGGTATGGTCCTGTCCGCATCCTTTGATACGTGGTGCCTTCAAAAGCCACAACATCAGAAGATGTTCTGATGGGATCAACTAATTTATGACAAGCCTTTGGAGGTTATTACTTCATGATGTAGTGGAGGAAACACTGTAGAGGAAAAGGCAAGATCAGAGCTTTCCAAACATTTCATGTGGGTGGGTTGTTGTAGGTTTTTTCGGGCCGTATGGCCATGGTCTAGAGGCATTCTCTCCTGACGTTTCGCCTGCATCTATGGCAAGCATCCTCAGAGGTAGTGAGGTCTGTTGGAACTAGGAAAAAGGGTTTATATATCTGTGGAATGACCAGGGTGAGACAAAGGACTCTTGTCTGCTGGAGCTAGGTGTGAATGTTTCAACTGACCACCTTGATTAGCATACAATGGCCTGACTGTGCCTGGGGCAAACCTTTGTTGAGAGGTAATTAGATGTCGCTGCCTGCTTCCTCTCTGTTGTTGTGCTGTTGCAATTTTAGAGTTTTTTAATACTGGTAGCCAGATTTTGTTCATTTTCATGGTTTCCTCCTTTCTGTTGAAATTGTCCACATGCTTGTGGATTTCAATGGCTTCTCTGTGTAGTCTGACATGGTGGTTGTGAGAGTGGTCCAGCATTTCTGTGTTCTCAAATAATATGCTGTGTCCAGGTTGGTTCATCAGGTGCTCTGCTATGGCTGACTTCTCTGGTTGAAGTAGTCTGCAGTGCCTTTCATGTTCCTTGATTCGTGTTTGGGCAATGCTGCTGCGTTTGGTGGTCCCTATGTAGACTTGTCCACAGCTGCATGGTACATGGTAGACTCCTGCAGAGGTGAGAGGATCCCTCTTGTCCTTTGCTGAACGTAGCATTTGTTGGATTTCTTGGTGGGTCTGTAGATAGTTTGTATGTTGTGTTTCCTCATCAGCTTCCCTCTGCGGTCAGTGGTTCCCTTGATGTATGTATTTCATGTGGGTGACACACTTTTTAGATATACATCATTTCGCAAAAGCGTAATTTATTAGCAAAATGGAGGTTAAACAAATCCCTTACAAGAGATATGAACACATATAGAAACTGTCATAATAAAATGTATGGGGACACAAAATGTCTCATGAAAATCTTCCCTTTATATTTTAAATGTACAATAATAACATACATTTCCAAGATTATTGTCATTTCAAATTAGGGTCACGTGACACACCTACACTGCAGCCAAAACTCGACATGCCATGATGCACAATTTGGAAAGCTCTGGTCTAGATGAAGCAGAAGTGGACAAGACGTGGCATTGGTTAAATATTAAACAGTGCTCATAGATTTGGAACAATGACCACACTCTTGAGATCTTTAGAAAATGCATTTTGTTCTTCTCTGGGCAGTAGTGGTGTCACTAACACATCTCCCTCCATCCCTTCCTCTCATCCTTCCATAAAGCTATTCCCCTGCAGTTTAGGAAAACCTTGAGTGGGCAACAGCTTTGTTCATCTTGACCTTCCTTTGCCCCATTTGTTTAGCCTTCTGCAATGAATTTAGGGACACAAGGGAAGAGGAAGCACGCAGAAAGGGGGGGGGGTAATAAATGTAATAATATTATTATTATTATCACCCATATTTCATTGCATTGTTGTTGCCACCGCATAATAGTTGCACTCCCATTTTTGGGGCGGCACAGTTGGTATTTTTGTGTTCCTCGCATAATAGTCACCGAGTCATTTGGAGCTGATTCCTTCTTCGTTCTCCAAAGGCAAGTCACTTTAAAAACTATGAAATGGAAGTAGGTGTCTTGAGCCCCACACTTCCCTCCTTTCTCTGAGGCAAAGCAGTTTGAAAAACCTGAAATGTACGTCTCTGGAACTCGGATTGTCTCTCCTCCCTCCTTTTTCCAGATCTCAATGTCAAATTTTGCAAAATGCCTTGACTTTGGAGGCAAGGAAAGGGGGAGGACTCTTCTGTTCTTCTTCCTCCGAGGCATGGCACTTAAAAAAAGAAACAAACCAGAAACTGGAGCTGTTTGTTTGAGGCTGGATCATGTCTCCTTTTCCTCCTCCTTTTGGAGGTAAAAAAATTTGTTATTTTTTAAAAGGCATATTTTTTTTCATTACATAATAGTCATAGCCTTTTTTTTATTAAAAGTGCGACTATTATGCGATGAAATAATAATAATAATAATAATAATAATAATAATAATAATAATAATTGAAAGATCACCCTCTCCACTTTAATTCCACCCTGACCTGAACCCATTGTGGTATCACGTTGGCATCCACATGTTCTAGATTTTTTTTTTCCACATCAGGAGCGACTTGAGAAACTGCAAGATGCTTCTAGTGTGAGAAAATTGGCCACCTGCAAGGACATTGCCGGGGATGCCCGGATGTTTTACCATCCTGTGGGAGGCCTCTCTCATGTCTCTGCATGGGAAGCTGGAGCTGACAGACAGGAGCTCACCCTGCTCCCCAGATTCCAAGCATTTACCTTTCAGTCAGCAAGCTAACCAAGTACAAAATACTTTTGTAATTTGCACTCTGGGTGCATCTAACCTGTAGAGTTAATGCAGTTTGACCCCCACTTTAACTTTCGGTCAGCAGTCCTGCCGGCGCAAGGGTTTAACCCATCATGCCACTGGGGTCTCCTATGTCTAGATGGGCTGGGATCATATCGTTTGGCCATCGGTTCACCCTCTGTATGGCTGCTATCATTCCTAGCCTGACACAGAGGTCCATCGCCATTGCAGGGTGCCCCATTCCGATATCAACAGAGGTGCGCACACGACCATGAAGAAGCCGGAGTGGTGATGGCAGCAGTGACAGAGGGGAGATCCAGCTCCTTTCCTCGATACAGGAAAGGATAATTACTTGGTGCCCCATCTGTACGGCAGACTGATCCCAATACAACTGTCCAGGTTGCTTTAAAGCCACAGGATACACCTGAGTTTTCCAGCAAACTCCACATTATCTTTCAGCTTTGTCTAAAATAGTGCCAAGTTTCACTCTGGAAAGCCTGCATTGGAAGACGTTGAACGTCAAGTCAATTCAGGGTAAATCCAGGGTGTGTGGTTGTTTTGCCTGTGCAAATTCACTCTTGGATATGATCAATGGCAGCAAAGATGGAGACAGTCTTCAACCACTGGTTCTCTGATATAAAGTACGTTATTAAAGGTAGAAAGGTAGAAATAAAGTGGTACTTAAAGGGACCAACAAATAATAACGTATTGTCAATAATAATAATAATAATAATAATAATAATAATAATAATAAAAGCTTCTGCCAACTTAGCAGTTCGAAAACATGCAAATGTGAGTAGATCAATAGGTACCACTCCAGCAGGAAGGTAACGGTGCTTCATGCAGTCATGCCGGCCACATGACCTTAGAGGTGTCTATGGACAACGCCGGCTTTTAGGCTTAGAAATGGAGATGAGCACCACACCCCAGAGTCGGACACGACTGGACTTCATGTCAGGGGGAAACCTTTACCTCTTTACCTTTATTGTCAAAAAACTCACAGCAACCCAACAAATAAGAAGTTAAAATCAACAGGCAACAAGCAGGAGGCTTATTGATTAATTTATATGTTTGTTTGCAGAATGCGCATTGGTTGTAGGTTGTAAATAGAAGTGTGTTAGTTACTTTCATCTACAATTAAAAAGTTTTAATTTCATTTTGTTGTATTTTACAACTATGCTTTTTGTTTGTAAGTTTGAATGAACATTATTTACACAGGTTATGACTAATAATCTTTCACTCTGAGGCCAAAAGCTTGGTTTGACTCATTCCAAATTTTGCTGAAAGTTTTGTTCGTTGCCCAAGGAATGTCTGACTCCGAGTCCTGTTTTTTTCCTTTGTTCTGTTTAGATCCTGTCTGTATTGACTCAGAAGAGAAAATTGACAAGATCTTTTGATCCGGGTGACGTGGAAAGTGGCAAATCTTCCCCTAAGCCCGTTGATTCACTGCATAAAGCTGATATCAGCAAGAGAGTCCAAGAGGAATTGGACACGTGCCGTACAAGGGCAGGAAGCTCCGAGTACACAGAATTAAGGGCTTCTGCCACCTCTTTTCCCTCTGGGTCAGACATGAGCCTTTCTTCCAACGAATTATTAGCAAGCATTGACGATGAAGAAATCCAACAGGTAACTTGATTTCAGCTGCTAAGGACAATATTGGCCAGTATTCTGCAGCAGCTACAAGGAAACTAAACTAAGCAACCTCTCCTGGCTTGATTCCCCACCACCATTACCACCACCAAACCTAATGGAAAGAACAGAAATCCTTGGGACTTATTTACTACCTTTTTACACCAAAAAATGAGGAGAAACTTTTACTTTTGGCTTTTTCAATTAGAAGAATCATAGAATCAAAGAGTTGGAAGAGACCTCATGGGCCAGCCAGTCCAACCCCCTGCCACGAAGCAGGAATATTGCATTCAAATCACCCCTGACAGATGGCCATCCAAAAAAAAAGCTTCCAAAGAAGGAGCCTCCACCACACTCCGGGGCAGGGAGTTCCACTGCTGAACGGCTCTCACAGTCAGGAAGTTCTTCCTCATATTCAGATGGAATCTCCTTTCTTGTAGTTTGAAGCCATTGTTTCGTGTCCTAGTCTCCAGGGAAGCAGAAAACAAACTTGCTCCCTCCTCCATGTGGCTTCCTCTCACATATTTATACATGGCTATCATATCTCCTCTCAGCTTCTTCTCTTCTTCAGGCTAAACATGCCCAGCTCCTTAAGCCGCTCCTCATAGGGCTTGTTCTCCAGACCCTTGATCATTTTAGTCGCCCTCCTCTGGACACATTCCAGCTTGTCAATATCTCTCTTGAATTGTGGTGCCCAGAATTGGACACAATATTCCAGGTGTGGTCTAACCAAAGCGGAATAGAGCGGTAGCATTACTTCCCTAGATCTAGACACTATGCTCCTATTGATGCAGGCCAAAATCCCACTGGCTTTTTCCCCCCGCCACATCACATTGTTGGCTCATGTTTAACTTGTTGTCCACGAGGACTCCAAGAGCTATACTAATAATTGAATAGTGACATTAGTGATATATGTATGTATTATCCGTGTAAAAAAAGCAACGAATTTAAATCATCAGACAGAGAGTGCGAGGCTCATAGAACAGGATTTGTTGTATGTGTAATATATGTTTAGTGGTTATTTACTTAGGTGATCCCTCATTGTCTGAGTATGATGACCTTCCAATTGCAGTGTCTTGGTAGTGGATACGTAGGTGTGGTGGAGGCTCCTTCCTTGGAAGCTTTCAAACAGAGGCTGGATGGCCATCCGTCAGGGGTGATTTAAATGCAATATTCCTGCATTTAATTAACTTCTTGGCAGGGGGTTGGACTGGATGGCCCATGAGGTCTCTTCCAACTCTTTGATTCTATGATTCTAGGTGACTGTGGTATGGGATACATTAATCATGGTTTTATTTATCTTGTCAGGAGCAAACCAAACAATTGTATTGCATTTTTTAACAAACAAACAAACAAAACACAAAGTTTGCAAACTTGGTAGTTGATTAAATGTCCTTTGACCAGTATCTGGCCACTTGGAGTGCCTCTGGTGTTACTATAAGAAGGTCCTCCATTAGGCATGTAGCAGGGCTCAGGTTGCATTGCAGCAAGTGGTCAGTGGTTTGCTCTTCTCCACACTCACATGTTGTAGATTCCACTTTGTAGCCCCACTTATTAAGGTTGGATCTGCATCTCGTGGTGCCAGAGTGCAGTCTGTTCAGCGCCTTCCAAGTCGCCCAGTCTTCTGTGTGCCCAGGGGGGAGTCTCTCATTTGGTATCAGCCATTGGTTCTGGTTTGAGCCTGCCACTTTTGGACTCTCACTTGCTGAGGTGTTCCAGTGAGTGTCTCTGTAGATCTTAGAAAACTATTTCTTGATTTAAGTTGTTGACATGCTGGCTGATACCCAAACAGGGGATGAGCTGGAGATGTCTCTGCCTTGGTCCTTTCACTATTGGCTGCTACTTCCCAGGGGATGTCAGGTGGTGCGACAGCCAGACTTTACAGAGATAGTTCTAATCATCTTCTATATCAGTGGTCCTCAACCTGGGGTTCCCAGATGTTTTTGGCCTTCAACTCCCAGAAATCCTAACAGCTGGTAAACTGGCTGGGATTTCTGGGAGTTGTAGGCCAAAACACCTGGGGACCCACAGGTTGAGAACCACTGTGCTAATCCATCTAAAACACAGACATGTGCTTTTCACTTTAAGAACAGACAAGCATCCCGAACTCTGAGGATTACCTGGGAAGGAATCCCACTGGAGCATTGCAGTGTACCCAAATATCTGGGAGTCACTCTGGACTGTGCCCTGACCTACAAGAAGCACTGCCTGAATATCAAGCACAAAGTGGGCGCTAGAAACAATATCATACGAAAGCTGACTGGCACAACCTGGGAATCACAACCAGACACAGTGAAGACATCTGCCCTTGTGCTTTGCTACTCTGCTGCTGAGTATGCATGCCCAGTGTGGAACACATCTCACCACGCTAAAACAGTAGATGTGGCTCTTAATGAGACATGCTGCGTTATCACGGGGTGTCTGTGCACTACACCTGTTGTGATAGAGTCTGATGGCAGTGATAGTAACACTAGTTGTAGTAGGAGAGGCAGGAAAACTACTCGCGAGCAAGACTATGATGAAGAGCAACTCCTTTGCTGGAGAAATTACACTGTTTAGCCAGTATTAATCATGGTGAGAATGGTTTTTATAGACTGCATTGTATTTCTTGTCTATAAGAATCATTCTTATAGACCAGGCATGAGCAAATATCTGCCCTCCAAATGTTTCGGACTTCAACTGCCACAATTTCTAACAGCCTTAACAGTCCAAAATACCTGGAGGGCCAAAATTTATAAGTGCGTACAATGCTGGCTTATATAGCTTAAACAGAAAACGAACACCCACTCAACTGATAGCTTCAAAGAGCAGGGGACAATCACTCACTTAACTGCTGATCTAAACTGTCAATCATTGCTGGCTGAAGCATTCAGCTTTGCCTTCAAAACAAAACAAACACTCACAGCTTTCTGGTGCCCCTAGCTGAGCAGCTAGCCTTAAGCTACAGGAGTCAAGCACATACTCAGATTTCTAGTGCACTCTATGACAAGGCTTACCTGAAGCAAAGGGAGCAAAGATGGCTTCTTGATTCCTCAACTTCTGTGGGAACTCAAAATTGTTTTGGATTTTGTCTAGTGTTTTATACATTTGGTTGTTTGTAGGTTTGTTCATCTCCTTGTGGTTAAATAAAAATTAAAAAGGGAAAATAATAGGGCTGGGTAACCACGGAAAAAATTGTTTCTAAACTCGATTCGTTTTTAAGGGGTCCATCACGTTTTGTTTCTTTAAAAAATTCAGAAATTTTCCTTTTAAAAATTTCAAAATATACGAAATTTCGTAAATTTCAAATCGATTCGTTAATGGCGGACGCGATTGCGCAATATGCTAAAAAAAACCCTCCAAATATGCTAAAAATATGCTGAAAAAACCTCTAAATGGGACAGGGGAACTTCTGAAGCTTCCCTCTCCCTCTGTTGTTGACTGTTGGTGTGATAACACAAATAACAACTATAAAACTTGCACCAGGCATGCGAAAATAATTACGAAACAATTTCGAAACAATTTCGAAACAATTACGAAATATATTGAAAAATTGTTTTGAGTCTATTTAACTCCTCACACTATTCCAAAATGGCTCAATATCGGATCGTAAGCTAATTTAAATACAAATTAATAACGAATTACGAAATTAACGAACGAAACCGCCCAGCCCTAGAAAATAACATTAACCCATACTCTAATTATTTGCAGAATGGACCTTTTTACTCTCTATGCAGCTGATGCACAGTCATGTCTGATGAATTATGATCATGGTAATAGTGTCACAGTTGTGACGAAGGAACCTATCACTTGAGGCAGGGATAGAATAAGCTCTCACTTTTTACTCTTTTATTCAGAGCAGGGAATAAGAGTTAAAATGCTATACTAACATTGCTGTGGATGTCTGATTAACAATTTGTTTCGAAATTTTAGGTTTTAGACATTTTGTGGAGTGACCCCATCCCTCAAGAGGGCTGTAAAGTGAATGAAGACAGAGGAGGTGGTTGTTACTTTGGCCCCAATGTGACAGAGGCGTTTCTGCAGAAGCACAACCTACAGTTCATCATCCGTTCCCACGAGTGCAAGCCAGAAGGCTATGACATCTGCCATGACCGAAAGGTAGCTTAATGGGACTGCTACGATGGAGTCTTGTTGTTATTGTTGGGGTAGTAATAATAATAATAATAATAATCCCACCACCATCTCCTCGAAGGGACTTGGGGCGGCTTACATGGGGACTTAACCCAATCAAACAGAGTTAAGAGATAGCACAATAAAATCAAATCATAAGAAAATCATGAAAACATAAACCATCAACAACCACCAACAGTGGACGTGTTCAGAACCGAAAGGGTGGCGCAAGGGCTTGTGCAATACAACTGCAAGGACAGAGCTGATAGTAACGTGCAAGAGTCAAATGTTAAGTTAGGGCTAGAAGGATCAAGTAAATTAGTGCAATACAACTGCAAGGACAAGGCGGATAGTAAAGTGCAAGAGCCAGATATTAAGTTAGGGCTAGAAGCGCCAAGTCAATTAGTGAATCGATTAATCAAAGGCACATTGGAACATCCAATGTGTCTTGTGAATGAAAGAACAAGAGAGAAGGCTGTTGAAATTTCCACATTAATGTATCAGGGCAAGTGACCTTTAGGACTCTTCATGCTGCACTATTATAGTACTATGATTTCTGCTTCAATTATGATAGTTTCTTTCAAGCTTGGCTTTGATGCTGTAATTGTTGCAGCTCGTTCGCTCTACTGCTAAGCTCAAGAAGCTTCTGAGTTGCTAAACTGCTGCTATTGTTGCTGATGTATTTCAAATGCTTTTTCCTTTTTGAAATTACCCATCAACATACTAACCTCAATGCTTTTTAACATTTATATGAAACCTCTGAGAGAAATAATCCGGAGGCATGGGACAAGGGGTATTATCAGTATGCTGATGACACTCAAATATATTTCTCACGCCTTCAGAAACAGCTTTAGATAACGATAGCATGTCTCGTCTAATAAATGCCTGTGGGAGGTAATGGGCTGGATGAAGAAAAACAAACTGAAACTGAATCTAGACAAAACAGAGGTGCTTGCCATCAAGGGTCCTAATCAAAGGATGGAAGTGTGTCAACCAGTTCTGGATGGGGTTACACTCCCTCTGAAAGATAGTGTTTGCAATCTTGGGACAAGGGCTTCTGGATCTGTCTCTCCAAATGTCATCCCAGAGAGATGCAACAGTCAGGAGTGCTTACTACCAGCATCGGCTGATATGCAAGCTGCATGCCTTCCTAAATTTGGAGGTCCTGAAGATTTTCTGAAATGCATGGTCTTCTGAAATGCACTGTGCATTTGATAATGTTCAATCTCACTGTTTTAATCATGCTGTACCCTGCCTCGAGCCATGAGAAGTGGGTAACAACAACAACAACAACAACAGGAGCAGCTTTGGGAGCTAGGGATGTTTTGCTGGGAAAAGAGAAGGTTAAGGGATTACATGACAGCCATGTTTAAACATTTGAAAGGATATCGTTGGAAAGCCTGTCTTCTGCTTCACGGAGCAATGGATTTGCATTACATGATTCCACTCAAACATTAGGAAATATTTACTGATGGTCAGAGCTGTTCAACAGTGGAACATGATGTGTTGGAATCCATCAGAGTCTCGTTCTCTGGAGGTTTTAAAGTAGGATGGCCAACTGTTGGGAAGGCTTTGATAGTATACATGGCAGATTGGGGTGGGCCTGGATGACCCTTGGAGTCTCTTCCAATTTTATGATTCTCTATGATTTAATATACTTGAAGGAATTGGAAGGAAACAGTTTTACCGATATATGCAATACTTTCATCCGGTGATGTGTGGAGAGCCTTCATTTACAAAAAAAGCAAAGTTCCATAATGTGTGGGTTTTGGCAACTTGACTGTGTACTGTTTTAAGGATTGCTTTGTGTCGTTTGTACATCACTGTCCTATTTGTGTTTGTTAGGTAATCACTGTCTTTTCAGCTTCGAACTATTACACAGTGGGCAGTAACCGGGGAGCCTACGTCAAAATGGGACGCGATTTGATTCCCCACTTCATCCAATACCAAGCCAGCAAAACATCACGTAGACTGACCATGACTCAAAGGCAAGTCTCTTCTCCTTAGTTGGAAAACCCATATGGTTTTGCAGACAGCTGCAGATGTTGACAAAGCAATGTATGAGGGTTGAATGAAAAGTAACTCCTCAACAGATGGCAGTACTGGTATGCGGCAGGTACTGGCTTGTTCAGTAGACTCTCCTCTACAGTTCCATTTTGGCAGGAAGCCTTAGAATTGAACGGTTGTGTTGTTAAAGTGTGAACTATGGAAAACTGTGCAGACGGTCGGTCAATGCAACTTAAGCAATGTGCAGTCATTGAATTCTGGACAGCAGAAGGTCTCAACATCTTTAAACTTACTTGCCCGACAACGCAAAGTACTCACATCTACACAATCACCATAAACAGCTTGCATTCTCTGATTAATCTCCTTTGGGGTGACACCTTCTGCCATCAGTTAAGGAGTTACGAAGGTGGAGGCATTACTTTTCATTCAACCCTTGTAGTTTGGGGATACAACTTTTCCTGGTTATGGTTTTGATGATGATAACAATAGCATGTAAAGCACGTAAAAGCACTATTTTTAATAAACAACAATGAAAATACTTTAAAAGGTGTGCAAGCTTTCAAGTTCTCCAGAATTCATCAAGTTAGAAGATACAAAAAGGACAAAATTAAAATTAGAACACTTTTAATAGAAGCCAGAAAAGCCTTTGATGGGGGTGGAGGCTGGATATGTCAATGGGCGCGTCCATTTTTGCACGCATGACTTTACATGGCAAAATGTTCTACTCTTCTTAACAGGATCAGCCGAGTGGAAGTGTCAGCATACCAGGTGTTAAAGGAGAAAATCTTTGCGCACAGGTCCGACCTCACCACTGCTTTCAGGCGCTATGATAAGAAGAACACAGGTAAGGCCCATAGCTTAAACCTGAACACACCTGACCTTGTCTGATAGCATAGCCTCAGAGGTGATAAGAGTCTCCTTCTTTGGAGGTCTTTAAATAGAGGTGGGTGACCTTAAAGGTGATACCTGCAAGACGGAATTGGAGTAACCTCTTTTTCTTCTATCTTCATTTGGAGCCTATGCATTTAAGAATCTCTAGGACAGTCATGGGCAAACTTGGGCCCTTCAGGTGTTTTGGACTTCAACTCCCACAATTCCTAACAGCCTACCGGCTGTTAGGAATTGTGGAAGTTGAAGTCCAAAACACCTGGAGGGCCCAAGTTTGCCCTTACCTGCTCTATGGCCTCCAGCTTAATTCTGTGGTTAACTCCTGCAGGATGTTGACTACAGAGCCATGCTGGAAGGCGTAAATCAGTGGTTCTCAACCTGTGGCCCCCCAGATGTTTTGGCCTTCAACTCCCAGAAATCCTAACAGCTGGTAAACTGACTGGGATTTCTGGGAGTTGTAGGCCAAAACACCTGGGGACCCACAGGTTGAGAACCACTGGCCTAAATATTCCTTATGACTGTTGTGGCATCAAATTGCTGCCAATTTGTAAGCCGCCTTGAGTGGACTTCAGGCTGAGAAAGGCGGGATAAAAATACCATAAATAAATAAAGAATAAATAACTATTGGTAAAATAAAATTTCCTTTTGACCTACTGTTACCAAAGCCCTATGTTCTTAAAATGCTGTGTTGACATTCCTATCCTAACAGGCCTGATCACATTGAACGAATGGGCAAATGCTGTAGAGTCTGTCCTTCAGCTGGGGCTGCCGTGGCGGATGCTGAGGCCGCAGCTGGTGCTGCACCTGACCAATGGGAAGCTGGAGTACAAGACGTGGCTCAAGGACATTGTGACAGAGCAGCGGTCAGCAGTCCAGGAGGTAACAACTGCTGGGGAACGTCCAGTGGTGGCAAAGGAATAGAAAGGATTTGGGGTACCATGGTGTCTGTCAGTAGCATAATGAATTCAGCTCAAACTGTACAAGAGCTATCCAAGGTGCCAGATATATAGAATTCAGCACCTTGGGCAAGGCAGTCAAATGAAATCCAGAGTAGACCCTTGCTGGTGTGACATGAAAACCATGATCTTTAATATAGACGTAACAACTGGTAAACTGACTGGGATTTCTGGGAGTTGTAGGCCAAAACATCTCACAGATTGAGAACCAATGCTTTAGGGCAGGGGTCCTCAAACGTTTTAAACAGAGGGCCAAGTCACAGTCCATCAAACTGTTGGAGGGCCAGATTATAATTTGGAAAAAAAACCCCATGAATGAATTCCTATGCGCACTGCACATATCTTACTTGTCGTGAAAAAAAACCCACTTAAAAATAATACAATAATTAAAATGAATAATTTTAACAAATATAAACTTATTAGTATTTCAATGGGAACTGTGGGCCTGCTTTTGGTTGATGAGATAGGATTGTTGTTGTTGTGTTCTTTCAAGTCATTTCAGACTTAGGTTGACCCTGAGTGAGGGCCGGGTAAATGACCCTGGAGGGCTGTATTCGGCCCCCTGGCCTTAGTTTGAGGATCCCTGCTTTAGAGGATTTAGGTTGTGTAGAAGACATGACTGTCTGAACATCTGTGAAGCCAAATGAAAGGCTGGATCAGATACCACTGAGTTACCTGGAAAAGACGAGGTAAACCACTGCCATATAAATATAGGAAATATAGTTTAACAGGTAGTTCTCCCTGCACCCTTTCCCCCCTTTTTTAAGCAAGTGGCGATTTGCAATCATTTTACTCAAAGATAACTTAATCTACAAAGCTGTCCTTGTCTCTTCCAGCGGCTACAGTCAAGCTTGCTAGAAAACATTTACCGAAACCTCTCCAGCCTGGAAACTATCTTCAATATCATTGACACTGATCATTCAGGTAAAAAGGTCTTGATTCTGTACTGCTAACACCCATCTTTGGGTTCAGAGGAAAAACTGTGCCTTTGCTCCAGGTGCTGAAGCCACACTATCATACTGGCTCTCACCAAACAGAAAGATATGGTAGTAAAAGAAAATAAATGAGCAGAAGTTGATTAAGACACAGTGAGATCATACATTAACGCCTGGACTATTTTCAGGCGCTCTTCCTCTCTAGCTATTCTCTATTACAGCTTATCGCCACCTCTATACCATCGTTCCACTATTGGTCCAAGACGAATCTCGAAGTAGCATCTTTTATTTGCCATAGACCAGGCATGGGCAAACTTCAGCTTCCACAATTCCTAACAGCTGGTAGGGCCGGGCTTTAGCACAGCTGGTTAATCACTAGCAGCAATAGATCATTGCCAGCCAGAATCACCAGCAGAAATAGATCACTGCCAGCAGTTCAAAGCCTGAGTTGGAGTGAGCACCTGGCTGTCAGCCTAGTTCACTGTCCACCTAAGCAGTTTGAAAACAACTGAGATGTGAGTAGAGAAATTAGGCACCACTGAAGTGAGGAGGTATTTTACTGCACCATAAAATGCTTGCGATCAAAGAACAAGGAGGAAAAAGCCTGTGATTAAAGAGCTTGTTGTCATATCAGATGGCACGACAGCACCCCTGTGGCTGGAATCGAGCATAACCTCCAGGCGCCGAAGCTGGAAAATGCCAATATACCTCTATCTGTCTGTCCTGTATGTCTAAAAGGGCATTGAATATTTGTTGCGTTCATGTGTGTTGTGATCCGCCCTGAGTCCCTTTCCAGATGAGAAGGCCAGAATATAAATGATGCAAATAGATAAACAAATAAGCCCAAAACACCTGGAAGGCCAAAGTTTGCCCATGCCTGGTCTATAGACTAAGACAGAAAGCAATGGATACAAATTGTAGGAAAAGAGATGATAAGGCACAGAGAAATATGCTCCTTGAGACAACTGTTTTTGTCTGCCTACCCTCATCATGGCTTTGGCACTGTATAAATAATGCAACTGCTTATGGACTAACCAAAATGGCCAACAGTGTAATGATCACGTAAATCCTCTTCAGATAAAAATATATTAGTAAAATAAAAAGCAGGACTTGGTTATAAAAAAAAACTCTTGCAAGCTAGACTTCTTGGTTCCGTTATTAACAGATAATCTTAGCTGTTGTGAGTCCGAAGGATGCAGTCAGTTGTAAATCTGAACATGTTGCATTTCGTATCTCTCTCGCCCCAAATGGAGGAACATATACTTTTTTATTTTTCCCACTGTGTAGGGCTTATTTCTCTTGAGGAATTTCACCAGACCTGGAAGCTGTTCAGTGCCCATATGAATATTGATATCTCAGACGAAAGCATCAATGACTTGGCCCGCAGCATCGACTTCAACAAAGATGGAAATATAGATTTCAATGAGTTCATTGAAGCGTTCCGTCTGGTCAGTCAGTCGACTTGATGAAGAAATTGGAAGACCAAGCTGGTGGGGCTTCTAAACCCAAAACAGTATTCCCAACTTATCAATGTGCCTCAGAACCAAACAAAAAGGATGGGCTACTGAACATAAAGTTTAGCGTTCTTAAAAGTAACCCACTGTGGCTACAGACATACTCACAGGATAAGGAATAGGACATGAAATGGAAAACCTGATTCCATAGCAGAGTTGGATTTGAATGTTGGAGTTGTTATTTGAAAGAATGCAAAGTTTTCAGACTTATGTTATATTTCCATGGCGAAAAGAAATCCAGACTTTAAAAAAATATATAAGTTTCTCATATTTCATTATTGCAGACCATCTTTTTTCTAATCTCTACACAAGCTTTCCAAACATTTCATGTTGGTGAGACATGTTTTAGGCCTGCATCATTTTGCGACAGTTATTCAGTTTTAATAGCGAACGAGAGGTTAAACCAACTCCTTCTAAGAAACACAGGTACATACATAAATTGTAATAATGAGATGGATGGGGACACAACATATCTCATGAAAACCTTTCATTTATATCTTTTAAAAGATATAGCTTTAAGATAACATACATTTCCAAGATGCTTGTAGTTTGTTATGTCCGCATGAAACACTTACACGTTGCAGCCGACACACTAACGTGTTGCGACACAGAGTTTGGAAAACCGAACTATAGTTTGACCAAGACAACCTTTTAACTTGAATTGGCAAGTTTACGATTTTTAAACTTCTGACAATTTTCAAGGGAATAGCAAAAATAAAGGTGCTAATGCAGCGTTAATTTAAAATATTCTCACTGTAAAGTATTCATAACGAAGCACATTCAAGTTGACATCTTGTTGATGATATACATAGACACAACTACTGCAGTAGCTGCTGGACTTTTCCGTCCACTGTATAATGCGAGGGTTATCCAGAAAGTAAGGTTACAAGGCACGTAGCTCTTGTGGGGAATTTTCAATGCCGTATAGCGGGAAACCAGCAGAATATTGTGTCCAATTCTGGGCACCACAATTGAAGAGAGATATTGACAAGCTGGAACATGTCCAGAGGAGGGTGACTAAAATGATCAAGGGTCTGGAGAACAAGCCCTATGAGGAGCAGCTTAAGGAGCTGGGCATGTTTAGCCTGAAGAAGAGAAGGCTGAGAGGAGATATGATAGTTATGTATAAACATGTGAGAGGAAGCCACAGGGAGGAAAGAGCAAGCTTGTTGTCTGCTTCCCTGGAGACTAGGACGTGGAACATTGGCTTCAAACTACAAGAAAGGAGATTCCATCTGAACATGAGGGAGAACTTCCTGACAGTGAGAGCCGTTCAGCAGTGGAACTCTCTGTCCTGGAGTGTGGTGGAGGGTCCTTCTTTGGAAGCTTTTAAACAGAGGCTGTATGGCCATCTGTCAGGGGTGCTTTGAATGCAATATTCCTGCTTCTTGGCAGGAGGTTGGAATGGATGGCCCATGAGATCTCTTCCAAGTCTATGATTCTAAGTGAATGAGCAGTGCCAGTCGTCAGTAGCTCATCCACTGGTGTTGTTGTGAAGGTTAGAGATAAGCGACCTCATTCTGTTTCCCTTCTATCTCCTCCTTCATGACAATGCATGTCCGCACACCACTCATGCAACACAAGAGTTGTAGACTTCATTTGGTTGGGATGCTTTAAACCACCCCTCTCACAGCCCTAATCTTGCACCCAGTGACTACCACTAGTTCATTTAATCATAGAGTTGGAAGAGATCTCATGGGCCATCCAGTCCAACCCCCTGCCAAGAAGCAGGAAAATTGCATTCAAAGCACCCCTGTTCACTAAATTGAAGGAACATTTGGGTGGAGAATACTTTTCTGATGACAAGAAGGTGAAAATCAAAGTGACGAACTGGTTGAAAAAGGTGGAGGGAAACTTCTATGATACAGGCATCAAAAACTCATCCCACAGAGGACAAAATGTATTGAACTGAATGATGATTATGTGGAAAAATAATGTAATCCGTATGCTACAATCCGTGTAAGATTTATTAAAATATATTCATCCTTTGTATTTAAAAAAATACCTTGCAACCTTACTTTCTGGATATCCCTCGTAGTTGCACTGTTTAAAGCTGCGAAATGTAGATATGATATATGGTGCTCTTGGGCTCGTTTTTATGTAAATACTTGTAAGCTTAAAAGGTGGCAACTGTTCCATTATGTATGGGGCCTAAATTAGGGTTTTTTTTGAGGGGCGGGAGTGGAGGCAGATTTTTTTAAATTTTTTGTACGATTAATAATACCAAAGTATAAATAAAAATGTGAGATGCCAAGAATTAAGCTGGGAGGTATTTCACCCTATTAAATTCTAAACTAAGCTGATGATATTTCTGTTTTTGGTAAGGCTTTGGCACCCTTGGGAGCCCCCGGTGGTGCAGTGGGTTAAACCGCTGAGCTGCTGAGCTTGTTGACCGGGAAGCGGCATGAGCTCTCGGTCAGCCCCAGCTTCTGCCAACCTAGCAGTTTGAAAACATGCAAAAGTGAGTAGATCAATAGGTACTGCTCCAGTGGGAAGGTAACAGCACTCCATGAAGTCATGCTGACCTTGGAGGTGTGTATGGACAATGCTGGTTCTTCGGCTTACAAATGGAGAGGAGCACCAACCCTCAGAGTTGGAAACGACTAGACTTAATGTCGGGGAAAACCTTTACCTTTTCGCCCTTATTGCCTGCTCTTTTCCTCAGTTGCAGGATTCATGAAATCAGATCTGGACTCTGCAGGTGTCACTGTCACAGCTTCTTTTATAATAAACTATATGTGGGTTTGCATTTTCTTTGTGGCTCTTTCTTTTCTTCCTCCCTTTCCCTCATACACCTTATCTCTCTGTTTTCTTCTTCCTTTGCTTTCCCTCATTTATCTTCTCCCCTTTCCTTTCTCTTCCTTCGTGTTCCCTTTTTTCCTTCCCATCTCCTTTTCCCTTCTTTTCTCTCCAGTTCTTTGGCTCTTTAATTCCCTCCCTCCATACCTTTCCCACTTCACTTTTTCTTCCTTTTCTTGGAAGTCAGTCTCTCAGCCTTTGAGCAAGACACAGACACACACACCTTGTCCAAAATATAAATCTTCATCTAATTGCTGATTTCCTTATGTGGTGGATATCCCTCGGTTACAGTTCTGCAAATGTTTACAACAAGTTTTCCATCACAAACAGCCCAGAGCAGGAGACTGGAAATAAAGACTGATTTTATTACCTCTTGAGTGAGTGATGCTGCAAATTCTGATAAAGTATAATGATATAAAATGAAACAAACATATAAGCCATGTCTAATAAGTTAAAAGTTCACCTTTCACCAACATTTGCCCCAAAGGAGCACAACAGACACCCAGTTGTTTCCCCCAATAAGCCACCAAATTCAAAACCTTTGTTCATAAGCGGTTTGTCTGGAAATGCTGAACAGTGGTTAGTGGGCACAAGAACCAGCAGTGATTGACTTTTGTTTTCTGCTGGAAAAAAAAATCCTACCGGTATTAATACATTTTTAAAAAATAAACAAACATGAATTTGATTTTGTAGAAAAGGCAGGTTTAGGATACAGATCAGCTTGTAAGGAATCTAAAGTCTGTCTTCTTGAAACCAAGCACATCTTTACAAACCTACACCTCGTTGATGCCTGAAGCTGAAAAACATGGAAAGTATTCTGACAGGACCGGCGCTCTCTCAGAACCCACATTAAGGTTTATTGATTTTTCTTTTAAGACAATACCTAGTGAGTCTTGGTCACGGAGAGAAAGCCACGTCATCCACTGACCTCCAAGCGAAAGGAGAGACCCATCAGCTGAAGGCTCCTCCTCGGAGAGGGATGCTTTCGTTTAATCCATGCTCAATCAGCTTAATATCTTCCAGGTCGTCTTTTATGATGCTAATCAGGTGACTGAGGCCTTCTTGTTGCTGCTTCAAATGCTAGAAGGCAAATAAATTAAGTAAATGCTTCTCTTCCCACTGGCCTTTTCAAACCAGACTGAATCTCCTGCCAATAATCAACAACTCTGGAAATATGTTGTTGAAGGCTTTCATGGCTGGAATCACTGGGTTGCTGTGAGTTTTCCGGGTTGTATGGCCATGTTCCAGAAGCATTCTCTCCTGATGTTTCACCTGCAGCTATGACAGGCAACCTCAGAGGTTGTGAGGTCTGTTGGAAACTAATAAAATTGGGTTTATATATCTGTGGATTGTCCAGGGTGGGAGAAAAAACTCTTGTCTGTTGGAGTCAAGTGTGAATGTTGCAATTCGCCACCTTGATTAGCAGTTGGCCACCTTGAATTGCCTTGCTGCTTCAAAGACTGGTTGCTCCCTGCCTGGGGAATCCTTTGTTGGGAGATGATTAGCTGGGACCACCAAATGCAACATTGCCCAGACACAAATCAAACAACATGAAAGGCTCTACAGACTAATTCAACCAGAGAAGCCACCCATAGCAGAGCACTTGATGAACCAATCATATTATCTGAGAACACAAAAATGCTGGATCACTCTAACAACTAATGATAATGATAATAATAATAACAATAATACTTTATTTATACCCTGCTACCACCTCCCTATGGGACTCGGTGCGGCTTACATGAGGCCAAGCCCACAATACATCAATAAACAAAAGGAAATTAACAAAAAACAATCGATACAATACAATTAATATAAATCATATAAACAAAAAATAAGCAATAAACAGTAAACAGTGACACACAGCATTAAAAAACCTATGGCAGGGCCAAATGTAATAATTTAAAAAATAATTCTGGGCATGAACAAGGTAGGATATAACTGAGATAGGGTTTTCAAAGAGAGATGAGGGAACGCAGTCAATCCTAAATCAATGGTAAAGTGCATTTGAGGGCATATTGCTGAGGGATTTCCTTATTCTGGGAAGGGACACTGGAACTACCATGTCAGAATACACAGAGAAGCCATTGAAATTCACAAGTATGTGGACAATTTCAACAGAAAGGAGGAAGCCATGAAATTGAACAAAATCTGGCTACAGTAAATAAAGAGCAACGCTCAAAAAGCAGGGGAATTCCAGACACGAATCAAGCAGGGCCAGCTAACACTCCCAACAAAGGATTCCCCTAGGCAGGAAACAGCCAGGCTTTGAAGCCTCAGGTCCATTAAATGCCAATCAGGGTGGCCATTTGCAACTTTCACACTTGGCTCCAACAGACAAGAGTTCTTTCTCCCATCATAGACATTCCACAGATATATAAACCCCACTTGCCTTGTTTCCAACAGACCTCACAACCTCTGAGGATGCCTGCCATAGATGTGGGTGAAATGTCAGGAGAGAATGCTTCTGGAACATGGCCATACTGCCTGGAAAACTCACAGCAACCCAATTCTATATGTGCAGTATGTCAGCACTAAAGGCTTTAAGAAACCACAACGTGCAATCCTTTCTCCTCTGTCTCCCTGAAAAAAAAAATTCTGTCCTAAAGTCTCTTTCACATGAAGCCACGTCAGTTGTAGAAGCTTGTTGAAGGCCTTACTGAAATCCAGATACGCTACATCCACTGTGTTCCCTGCATCTACCCAGTAGATGTAACTGTATCGAATTAGATTAGTCTGGCATGACTTGTTTTTGAAAAATCCATGTTGACTATTAGCAATGATCGCATTTGTTTCTAAGTGTTTGCAGATCACTTCCTTAATTATCTTTTCCAGATGGTAAAACCTTCTTAAAGAACAATTCTCAAACATGTATTCAGGACAGTGTTCTGTTATAATTTAGAGTAGCCTGGATGATTCAGACTTGTTTAGTAACCAAGGTTCTTAATTACTGATAGTGAAAAGAAGTTAGGTAAGTATTTTGCCTCCATTCAGTATCTGAGGTGGTATGTCAGATGCTGGAGATTGCAAGTTAGAAGTGGTAATAATAATAATAATAATAATAATAATAATAATAATAATGTAGACTCTGCAAGGAAGCAGATGAAACAATAGATCACATCCTCAGCTGCTGCAAGAAGATCGTGCAGACAGACTACAAGCAGAGGCACAACACCGTTGCTCAGATGATTCATTGGAACTTGTGCCACAAATACCATCTGCCTGCAACAAAGAACTGGTGGGATCACAAGCCGGAAAAAGTTACAGAAAATGAACAAACTCCTCTGGGACTTCCGGATTCAGACAGAGTTTTGGAGCATAATACTCCTGACCTCACAATCATGTTAAAAAACAAAGTATGGATCGTTGATGTCGCAATCCCAGGTGACAGCAGGATTGCAGAGAAACAACTGGAAAAGCTGACACGATATGAGGATTTAAAATTAAACTGCAAAGACTCTGGCACAAACCAGTAAAGGTGGTCCCAGTGGTGATCGGCACACAGGGTGCAGTGCCTAAAGACCTTGGACTGCACTTAAACACAATCAGCACTGACAAAATTCCCATCTGCCAGCTGCAAAAGGTCACCTTACTGTGATCTGCAGCATTATTCGCCCATACATCACACAGTCCTAGACACTTGGGAAGTATCTGATCCAATTCAACAGCCATCAGAGTGTCTGCTGTGGACTCATCTTGTTGTGTTTCAAATAATAATAATAATAATAATAATAATAATAATAATGTACTACCAACAGCTCAAGGAATAATAATAATAATAATAATAATAATAATAATAATAATGTACTACCAACAGCTCAAGGAATAATAATAATAATAATAATAATAATAATAATAATAATAATAATAATAATAATGTACTACCCACAGCTCAAGGAAGCTCGAGGTCCTGCAGTGGACATCCCAAAAGTAAGCAACCTAATCAGACCACTTTCACCCACTTTGGCTCTTTGTATGCCTTACAATTGGATTTGCAGATTCAGCAGAGGGAGTTAATATATACCTGCTTAATTTCACGCAAGAGGTCGGCATCGATGTAGTACCGCTCTTCTGATCGCACGGCTCCGAAGTGGTTCTGCATTCTAATCTGAGACATCAGTTCGTTCAACCGACCCTGGAAGAGAAAGAGAAGCAGTTAGGAACTGACTTTCATTGGATTCAGCAAGAGTTGTAACAAGTTTCAGAGATGCATTTTA